CATGGAATTGAAACGAGCCATGTTAAGGCCATTGTTGATCAAAATCCCACCCAATCAGTGCGAGAGATTTCTATGGCCATAAATGTTTCTTAAAACACAAACCGACTAGCGTAGAAAACCATTTGCACAAGCTGGGCTGTTTCTAGGCTTATTTTGTTTGGGTCTCTCACATCAGTTGTTTTTCGAAAATCAAAAAAAAAATGTTATATCTTCAATACGACTTTAGCTATCTATAAGAAATTTAGCAGGGGTTTAAGGACACATAAACCACACAAAATGACATCGACAATGCTTTCGTAAATAAACTACGAATGGAGATAACAAATAAAAACCTATGAGTAGTTTGCGTTTATTTATTCCTTATGTAGGCAATCAAAAAAATATCCATACGGCTTTGAAGAGCAATAATTCAGCTATCCAACGGATATAGTAACATCGAATTTGGAGAATATCCTGAAGGGTTATGTATGATCGGAAGGGTGTTGTGTTCCACCAAGACAACGTTAGGCCCCACACCTCATTGGTCACTCACAATAAATTATCGAGCCTTGGATGGGACCTTGTGCCCCACCCTCCCTAGTCACCAGACCTAGCTCCAAGATGACTACCACTTATTCCAATCTCTGCAGAACTCAATAAATGGAAAGAAATTCCTAAAGGAAGAGGACATAAAAAACGACTTGGATCAGTTTTATAACAATAAACTCCAAACATTCTATGAACATGGCATCATGCAGTTGGTGTAAAGATGGGAAAAAGGAAAAATTAAAAAATGGTCAATATACTGTAGATCAAAATATATTTTATGTCTATAATACATTGAATTTTATCTCACCCTGAAAAACCAAAAGGACTTATTTGGCAACCCAATATTTTTAATGGGAGAAATTTTTCCTAATAATGTTTTAAATTAAATTATAATTTTAATTAACATAAATATTTTAATTATTTGACATATGTAATTTTCAGGAACACTGGTTTTTACCGGGGAAAATGAATACTGAAGAGATACGATAAAAAAAAGTATTAAAACTTAATTTTGAACAAGTTATAATGATTAACAATAACTACCAATGGGTATTATATTATATAATTGTCTAAAGATATTCTTTTTATTTACTTTAAAATACTTGAATATTCTTATAAAAGCCAAAACTTTATTTTTAAATAAACATTTATATATATATATAAAGGCTATTACGCCTCTGCTATGCTTCTTAAACAGCATTTAAGTAATTAATTATTCTTTATGTATATTAATGAAGAAATTCCAAGCCGCATGATTTCTAAATGGAATAATAATATATTATAACAGAAAAGATGTTTTCCTCGAATAAATATATTATTCAGAATATCAAATTCTGATTTATTATCATAAATGTATATTTATGATATGATAATAACAATGTGGGATTTATGAGTACCCGCATTTCCTGGATTTGTGGCATACATCAAAACGAGTCAAGGAGATTATATTTAGAAGAAAAGAAATTCTCACATTTTCATTTAAGAACATAATTCATTTTTCAACTATATAAACGCAAATTAATAAAATTTTTAGTCACAAAAATATATTAAAAATAAATAAAATTGAAAAAAAGATTAGTGTCCCGCAACTCACCCTACTTTCAGTAGAATTAAATGTTTGAAAAGATCATAAATCTTAAAAAATTTTCTTTTATTATAAAAAAACAAACTTACAGTTAAATAATCATGACAAACGGTGCACTATATATTTTTGGTTCATCGAGTTGAAAAAATATTTGAAAATCTCTGGTGCGTGCATCCCACGACTTTCACTTACCATCTTTTTTTCCCAGATATTAGTGGAAAAAGAAAAAAGAAATGAAAGTGAAAGTTACGGACGGAAAAAAATATAATTTAAAACTGTGAAATTATACAGTACAAAATAAATTGTTTATGTATTATTTGTCCCTAACCAATTCTTTTATGACTGTATATTCTAATTATTTATTTATTTTATTATATTAAATAATCGAATGATAATAAATACTTTTATTCCGACAAGAGTGGGGCTTATAAAAAAAACCACTATATTTATTTATATTTTTTTGCGGGGATGTTTATTTGTTTAATTATTGTTATATATACTAATTTCAATTTTTATATTCTTGTAATCAATACAACTAAATATTTAATAATACTTACGCTAGCATTTAAGAAAACAGCCCACCTATATGTATAAAATATTGTCGGAACCGAATTATATTAAGCACGTTATAGGCCTCTTATAACATTTCGGAAGAATTTGGGTGCACGCTTGGGTTTCCTTGTAGTAGAGTAAAATTAATGACTGACCCCCTACATTAAAAAAATAAAGATGAAACTTATCAGAAAATGTTTATTTCCCTCTCTATAATATCTGGTAAAAAGTCCCAAAGAATCTCGAGTCGGGTTTTGATGGAGGGAGAGGATAAGGGCAGAAATATGATATTTTTTTTTATTTTTTTAAGAATATCTCAAAAACAATTAGGTTTTTTGTAAATATTGTTAAGTAGTTTTATTAAAATAGAAATACTTTGAAATCTCTATAAAAATGATCTTATAATTTTTTTTTGATAAAATCTATGGTTACGGAGATTTATATATGAGATCATATTTATTGTATTTCCGCTGAAAGCAAAAATTGCTTCAAACCACATAATTGATGTTGTTCCAGTTTAGAATGACATTAATTTCATGTAATTGATAATATATGATGTAAGACAATAAAAGTTATAAAAATTTACCATAAACCACGGTCTGATACATACAGAGAACCAGAAAACTTAAATTATGTAATTTTTAAGCCAACCACTTTTTATGTTGAACAAAAAGAAATAACTAATAAAAGTTTAATTTAGGTTACAACCAGTTACTTCATAGAAAATTAGATTAAATGTAAAATAAATATAAGTAAATCTTGTCTATTTTAAAACCGTTTAAAGTCTACTTTTAGGAAGTTTAACTTTTAAGTTCGGTTTTTCATAAAATCAAACATTCTTCGATTTTTTTTTTTTTTTTTGGTATAGACATTTTGGATTTTGGTATAGATCATACTGTTTTAGAAATCATACTTTTTAAATGTTCTTATATTACACAGATATATAAGATATACATGCAGCTGTATAAATAATATAACTTTTATTTTATTTAACCCAGAGGTTGAAATAAAACCGTTCCCAACTCAGATATATCGTTTTATTTCCTGGTTAATAATAAATTTGAGCTCTGGATTGTTACTACATTCATTATATATTCTTCATTTGCAACAGCCCAATGAAAAATTAAATATTAAAGAGTATCATTGTCACAATAAAAGTCAAAAACAATCCCACTACATACAATAATAACAATGTCGTATCCACTGTTTTATTATGACCTTAGGCAGTTGGTAATTACTTTTTTGTAATAGTACAAATGTTTAATAATGTGTATAAATAAATTACAACACGTTATTTGTTACTAGAATCTCTGCTGTCTAATTTAAAACAATTAAATCTGGTAATTTTGTTTATTGGTAAAATCATTTGTGCATTCTAGAAAGCATGACAAAAAATGCATGACGCTTTTGATGAATTTTCCGTTATTTTTTAATACATACGAAATGTACGTTTCATTAAATTTCTTGAAACACAGACCAAATTTAGAAAGACTTATTTTATCCTATTTTTTTTTTATATTTATGTTATAATATTTAGATTATTAAAAAAAAGATTGGATTATTGGGTGCCTTTCATACCTAAAAAAATTGATTCCTTGATGATTTCCCTTATTTTCTATTCCAATTCTATTATCAAATCCAATATTAAAAAAAAAAATAAATTAAGAAATTTTTAGCCCTGATGATAACCCACATGTTTGAGTCGAAACGCCGATTAACCCAATTAATATTATCATGAATGAAATCTTTCCTTCATCCTCATACTTGGTCAGCTGACTATTTACTCATCTCTAAGATTTTTATTATTTGTAATTCAAATTCAATACTCGTTTTTTAACAAAAAAAGAAGGTTGATTGAGGTTTAGTTTGAAGAGAAAAATGGTATACTAGTTTTTCAAAATGCTTATACTCTTTTTATTCAAAATACAATTAATTTTTTATGAAAACATCACCTAGAATATTTGATGTATTTCAAGGCATTAGCTGCAAGTTTGGTTGATTAGTTTTTCTTGTTATTAATGTAGTAGGTCTCTTGACCATTTTCTTTTCAGTCTACGTCGATCAGGTAACAAGGAGTAGGAGATAGAAAGCACTAATGGATTGATGTGATTT